AGAGCTGAAACACCCTGTCTCAAATCACCTAGGCCACAAACAGGACTCAGTGCAAGTACTCTGGCCTCTAAAGCATGAAAGGATCAATCAGGAGTTCTTTCCCAAGGCTGCCAGGCCTCTGTGAGCCCTGGGGTCATGGTGATTCAGTCTGTGGCATAAGTGTGTCCCTGTGTGCCTCACAATTCAGTGCTTAAAAGGGTTAATATGTATTGATTGTTGTGTGCCAGCCACAGATGCAGGCGCTAGACATGGGTTAAAGCCATGCAATTCCCAGAAATAGCAACTGAAGTAGATGCTATTACCCACCATTCTACAAAAGGAGGAGCTGAGAGGTTGAGGAACTTACTCAAAGATACACAAAGAGAAAGTTGCAGAGCCAGGACACAACCCCGGGTGGTCAGCTCTGGAGGCTACTCTCCTAATGAGCTGGTCCCCTAAACTGTCTCTAGAAACTTCCCAATCCATCACTTTGCTCAGTGTACGCTGCAGGAAGGTTCACGGGCAGGCATCAGACCAGCGCTGGGGGATAATCTGGATCTCACTGTCTTCACCTGCACCTGTAGGTTCACGTCTGTGGCTCTCGCCAAGTACAGTTGCATGCCTGGACAGCTTTTTGTTCTGCCCCTGCCACCCCCCACTCCCATCTGTTGCTCTTGCATTAAAGAAATGGTCCCTCTCAGCCATTTATAGGGGACACAAAAATCTCTGGTCCATGGACTGTCTTTTATTTTTCTTTTTTCTTCCTCTAAACTCCACTGGGAGGCAGAATTTCTGTTAATCTCTCTTTTTTTTTCCTTCCCTAGGACAAAGAGTTAAACATAGCTTTTAAAAGTATGTTAAAAAGTGGGACCAAGAGATGGCATAGCTTATGTTGCTAGATTCCCACATGGCCAACCACGGTTCACTGGCTTGAAAATCACACTGGGCTCATATGGGTGTGTGCCCAAGATCTGGAGAGGAGAATGGAGAAGGGATTGTGGTATGGTCATCCCTCTGGGGGATGATTTCTTACCTTCCTCCTCTGTGTGTGTCTTTCTCTAGTGAGTGCACACTCCCTAAGGCAAAAACCTCTTTAAAAAAAAAAATTATATA